CCGGCCAGCTCCAACTGGGTGAACTGGGCGAACTGGGGCGGGCGGGGAGGGAGAGGTCTCGGGACCCGCGTCCCTCCAGGGCCCTCTCCCAGGGCGCCCCCGCCGATAAGGTCGAGCGGGTGCGGGACCTGAAAGCTCGTTTGCCGTTACAGAAAAAGGCATCAGGTCGGATGCGGTCCGCTGGGAGCAGACCCACGCCGGCTGCGGGCCTAGCGGAGAAGACACAGGTACCTGCTCTCAAGACCTTCGACCTTTTCTATTTTTGCTTTTTGGGTCCCTTTTGTCTCTCCCCTTTGACGGCGGTAGCGCCATCACCGGCTGTCGCTCATGCTGGGTGCAGAAGGCGGTTTCGGTCGATCTCTTTGCATCAAGTCTGGCCTAGGACGGGTCACGCTGCTGAGAAGACCCTGCCCTGCGAGTGGAGCAGCTGAAATCCATCAGTGAGGGCTCATAAGAAAGCTGCTACGGCAGATAACGCTCTTCTCATGGGGATTAATGGTCCAACTTCAATTCACCTAAATAAAAAATTACGCTGTGTCCCTCCCACAGACACCCCGTGGCTGAATACAGGATCTGAAATGCGTTTCATTTCCCCGTGACTCTCCCCGGAATCCCAAGCCCAGCCGTGGGACGGGCTGACCCGGGTGTTGAGCGATCGTAAAGCCGTCCGTGCTGTTTAAGAGCAGAAGCTGGAGATGCCCCCTTGGGAATGACCAGGGGAAAGAGCAGCCCGTCGCAGCAAAATTGCCGCCGTGTGTCGTTAAAGCCGCACGCGTGTGGGGATTGTTGGTACCGGCAACCGCAGCCGCGGCTGCGCTTCAGGGAGCTCGGCCCAGCACGGGACCGATGCTGGCGGGCTCAGGGGAACGCAGGTTTTCCAGCGGGGGTTGAGCGCCCCCAGGAACTTAGAAAAGCAGAACGACGTGCAGTGCTGCTCAGGAAACCCAGGGACTGGACAAACAGGACAAACTGCCCCGAGGGACTAACGGACAGAAAGGAGGCCAAGGAGAAACCTTGGTCAGAGCAGTCAGGAAACCTTTCCTACGTGGTCAGCCGGAGGAGAGAAATGTAACAAGGATTTGGGGGCTGCGGAAGAGGCAGGGCTGTGGAAAGCCCCATTCTGCTGCTGGCTTGAGGGACAGGAGTTTGTGCCTACTGCGAGGCATTTTTATAACAGAAAGGAAAACGCACAGGACTAACATTTCTTCCCTTCTTTGGACGGTAGGAATGTTTTAATTGAGAAATTAGTTTTAATTACATTAGGTGATATCACAGTCTATTTTACAAGTTCAGGGTAAGAGGATGCGTGGACCAGTTACACAGAAATCCAGTGAAAGGATAAAAACCTACAACATGAGAAAAATGAAAAGGTTAACTTAATCCCCCAAAAATGAAACGCATTGAGAGTTTGGTGTGAGTGGAAATGGGAGATTATACCGGGATCCAGAGAAGTACAAAGGATGAGACTAACATAATTTACAGTATTGGTTCTGCATGACCATCGTTTGCCCGTGTTCAGAGACAGCCTCTATTCCCCAGTGCATCGCTGAGCAGATGGCCCTGTCTCTGAGGGTTTGGTCTGATCTTGTCAGAGGAGAAAGCAAAATAACTGATGGGCAAAGGTCACAACCCACGCTGAGCTGGTCCCCAGGGTCACCGCCTACAAGACTGTCTTCCACTGGATAGTCGGGGGGTTCTGCACCAAGAACTGTATGGAGGAAAACTAAAACAGCTCCAAAAAGCCCCATCTCAAACGTAGAAAAGTCTCACTCTGGAAGTGCTTACGAGAAGGTCGTCATCATAGAATTTGGTTTCTATAATAACATTACCGCTGTGGAAGGAAAAGAGGAGAAAGAAGAGGTATTAGAAGAGCGCACGAACGGTAGAAAACAACCGCTCCTCTCAGTGCTCTCACAAGCCCGGGCTGACATCTCCCCCCCGCGACACGAGCTTTGGTTTGGAGCCGCGCGCAGTGAGCGCTGTGTCCGGATCCGGCGGCCATCAGGGCTGGAGGATCTCTCCGCTGCGTTCCTGCACGGAGAAGCTCCCCCCATCCCTCCCTTGCCGCCCCCTTTCTGGGCACAGCACCACGCAGGCTGCAGAGTGCTCGCAAACAGCAAACGTCTGCTCACTTCTGTTGCTAAAAATAAACTAGCAGTCCCAGCACCTCCAGGCCCCTCTCTCGTGCAGTGAATTGTGAACACCGATAGGAATTCTTTTTTTGTTTCCCATCTCTGTCCTCTAGTGCTGAGCAAGCTACTTCAACCAACTTCACGTCATCTCCCTCAAGAAGTGCCTAAATGCAAACACATGCATTTTATACAAACTGCACTGGAAATGTAGATTTGGGTGTGACAAAAGCTCTGATGATTTAAGTTGCCGACTTTGAGATTTTGGTAGGTAACGGTAAGAACTTCGGGGTCACCACAACACCTGGACCCCTGAGCAGTGTGATCTGACCATGTCTAAATAACCTGGCTCTTGAAAATCAAAGCAGCAGTTCCATCTCCACTGTGGCTCTTGGTATCTGTGACACCGGCAAAGCGAACCTGGCAGGAGCGCAACGTTTTTGCCGTGGCGTGGACAATGCTTGAACTCAAATGTCAGGGAATGTTCTCAGTCTGATGATAGTCAGTCATCCCGGGAATCCTTTGCGCAGAGTGCCTTGGTTAGCACCAAATACCACATCTCCATTCTCTCCTGCTATGGAAACACTGAGACAAACATGAGGTCTTTGGGAATATCAGAAAGTGAGGGGCTCTCCAAGTCTTGGCAGCTGAAAAAAGCTGACTTCTTTGGGCCACAAAAGCCCCTTTGGATTTCTTTGGGCTGGTGATTCTATTGGAAAGCCTCAAGAATGACTTTAGGACACCTCCATGAATAGGAGAGAGATCTGGGTGCCCACTACAAGTGGACAGAATCCAGGGAAAAAATGGGACACTAGAAAATCCTCAGGGTCACTTGAGAACTGGACTCTCACAACTCCCAGTCGTGAAAATGCTTTGATTTCCAGAGACGGTCAAACCCAACTTGTCGGATGTCTTTGTTTCTTTACTCTGATTCCCAGATCTGGCTCCTCCTGTACTGACTGAAAGCCACCAGCTCTGGGAGCCGAGGACGTGTGTAGCACCTACGACGTTCTGAGCAGATCGTGCCAGTTTGGACACACTGTTTGGACACTCTCTTCTGAGTCCGCTCTCTCTTTGAAACGTGCTGTGAATAGAAACCAGTGATGGTAGTTCCCATCCCGGTGCCTCCTCTATGTGACTGGCTTTCCTCCAGACAGGGAATGAGTGGGAAAATGCTGGAGAGGAAGGTCTTCCAGAGGACACAGTGACCTTGCGGTGAGACTGGCTGCTCCCTGTCTGCCTCTTGTTGGCAGGAGGATTCCCATACCCTTCTGTCTCTGCTGGCAACGTGCTCCTCATGTGCTCGCCAGCACCCATCTAGCACTGCAGGGAGGGTGGCTTTTGGCAGCGATTACAGCTTCCCAGGGGCCTCCCTCAAGGAGCCTTTTCCGCCATCCCACCAAAGCTTGTGCCTTGCTGTCCGCTCAGCGATGCCCAGCGTGCGTTATTCTGACACAACTCCTAGGGATCACTGACCTACTCGGAAGTCAATGTGCAAACAGCGGCCAGGACTAGACGTTTCTGAGGAAGGTGTGTGAATCCCATTACAGGTGACTGTAAAACGACTGTTTCCTACCTGTTAATTATCCCCAGATACAACTCCGTATGACTAAACGCATAGTTTATAATCCAATGTAAAAGACACAAAGCTTGGCAAAATGGTACAGTGATGAAACAAACGCTAGAGCAGCTCCTGTGGGCGATGCATTGCTTGAAAAACAACCACCTTGGACAAGAGTCAGTGATCAATAGCTGTATTTGAAAATGGCCCAAACAGCTCTTGTTTTTTTTCCTGGATCTAAGGGGTATTAAGCTGCAAAGCATTTTAAAATCCTTTCACAGTTCACCTTTCAAAAAAATTAAGCAACTCTAATAAAGGATCAGTTCCACTTTCTCCAAACTTTTATTGCTATATTAATGCAAATTGGACCTATGGGAAAGAAGGTAATGAGGTTGGCTTAGCCCCTTTTATCTCTCAACAGCTAACAGTAGTGAGGGTGATTCAGAGTTGGTAGCAGCTCCCTCTCTTCACTCCCACTGTGGCCCCCAAGGAAATGCCACACTGCTTTTTATTTGCCTGCTCTCAGATTCTGTAAGCCCAAGGCACTCACGTTAAAACGTTAGCTGGCATCATCTGTGATTCAGGTGCTGCCTCTATCAAGGACTGCCAAGTGTTTGTGGAGTTAGGAATCACAAAACCGAATTCAAAGAACCATTCTGCAAAGTAAAAAGAAGATCCAGAGGCATTTGAAAGAAGATAAAATCCACAAATGGTCCTTTTGCTTTTCACCTGACAGGCTGGGGAACTCCCTAAACTGTCCTGCTGGGCTGCCAACATTTTACATTTAAATTACTTTGTACAGCTTAAACAGCACTGAACCCTGCCCTCCTCTTAAAGCAGATACTCCCTTTCTACAATAGCTGATGATAATGATAAAGTCACACCACTTCCTTAGCATTCAGTGGAAATTCCACCACACCTAATTGGGAACAGGGAAACCACGCTCCCCCTCTTGCAGACATCCCCCAGATCCAGTTGAGACTAAGTGCACAACTGGTTGCCCAAAAGACAAGGAGCTCAATGTTTTATCTCCCCCTCCTCCACCCCAGATTAAGAGTAATGCTGCAGTGAGGAAGAGCAGATGTGCAGCTATGGAGTCACACGGACAACAGTCGGTGGCAGTGCTGTAACCGACGTAAACCGGAGGCTCCTGTAGTCCGGCCTCCAGCCTGGCGGTGGCCAGCACTAGGTGCTTCTAAGGAAGAGGCATGAATCCCCATCATGGGTGACTCTAAAATAACCTGTTTCCTTGCCTCAGGCAGCCTGCGGTGGATTTATGCCCTGAAGCATGATTACCCAGATTTTTTGCTTACATAACGAAGTGTTAATGCACTTATGAAATGCTATCCCTAATACTGTGGCCCATTAGTCCTGACAAGAGGAGTGCTTCAGTGCTACTCTGAAACTATAAAATCACCACGTTCAACCCATTTTAGTTTCTCTAATCCCCGCCGCACTGGGGGTCACTCCCTGCGCTGCAGCAGGACTGCATGCAGAGCAGATGCATACCTTCTAGACACTGCCCTTTGAAATAAACTTTCTGTTCCAGTCGGAATTTTTCCATTTGTTCTGCTGAGGAAAAGTTTAACTCCCGAGACACTGCTTTGCATTTCAGGATTTTTTTAGGAACTCGAGCTGTGAAACAGACAAAGAAGCATTATTTGGACACAATAAAACAAACCCAGCTGCTTCAGGTGCTATTATAACATACTTTGAAATGAGGATTAGTGCTAGTACAAGATCACAGTAGCAGGAAAAATGCAAACACAAAGGACTTCGTTCTTACACCTGCAGGAATGAAATCCAAGATGCAAATAGGTTAACTACCTTGCCCAGAGCCAGGAATGAAACTTGTGACAGAACGAGGGATACTGATCTCTTAGACTCCTGGTTCGTAGCTGTTTGTTACTAAAAACCACAATTCTTCAAGTCAAAATATGAGATGCAGCTTAAATTTTTATGTTAGGAAGTGTGCTGAAGACCACAAGCAGCCGAGGGGCTGCTTAGTACACCAAGCGTGGTAGCCCTTCTCACTTCTCCTTCCCTTTCAGGCTGCGCATCCCCAGCAAACCACAAACGGCTATTTCTCAGCCCAGCAGCACTGGTTCAGCCATCTCACATAGCTCTGCAAAGTCGTCCTGTAGAAGTATGCAAAATGTCTGTTCCCTAAACGTTGAAACCCACACAGGCAGTAAAGTCAGTACCAAACTAGAGAGTTTAAGAGGGAGAGTAATTTGGCAGTCCAAGGTATCGGGGGTCTTGCACTGGATGAGGCGACAACAGCAAGTGGCAAACTGTACCTGGTAGATATTTCATGGCTTTTTTTAGAGGTGGCGGGGTAAGAGAAGGGACAGTTTGGGAGCTTGATTAATTAATATGCTGAAAGGTCCTAAGCAGGAGAATACAGGGGGGGGAGTCAATAGACTCAAAATCTCCCAAGCCCGTCATACTTCAGTGGTGTGATCGTACATAATCCTTCCTGCATATTAGAAAATGTTTCATGTAAATTTATTAGAAATAAAGAGGGGAGGGAATACAGCTGGCATGTGCTTTATGAGCCAAACTGTTCCTAAATGGAAAAACACATCAAAACATCCATGAGCAGACAGCAGGCTGCTGTTTAATAAAAGGAAGAGTCTCCCAAACCCCCGGCAAATCCATCTAATGCAGAAGAGTTTAATGGAGTAGGACTTTGATATGAAACCAATCTAGAGCGCTGGAGGGTTAGGGAATGTAAGCTACCATCCTATCCCAGGGAGAAGTACAGAGTCCAACGTTTGTTTTTTTTTTTTTTTAAAAAAAAGGTAAAAAAGAAAGTTAAAAGTATAAGGGAAGAGTTTTAAATGTAAAAGCTCTCTAATTATTTTTAGTCTTTTTTTTTTTTTTTCCAGCATAGAAATCTGCATGGCACCATCCTTTACTGCCCTCACAAGTACAGACTGCAGCCTGTTGTGAACAAACATCCCTTTGCAGTTTTCTTTTTTTTTTTTTTTCCAGCATAGAAATCTGCATGGCACCATCCTTTACTGCCCTCACAAGTACAGACTGCAGCCTGTTGTGAACAAACATCCCTTTGCAGTTAAGTGTAAAATGACTTCTGCAATTTAGTAATTACATTTCTTTCATCCCCAAGACAGACTGCTGAGAAGGTTTGCTTTAATATTGTAAAACTACAAAATAAAAGGTTACTTTTAATAAAAGTAGGACTGTATAGTCTTTAAACCCCTGATCTAAGAGATTTTAATTGATATGTATACCATCAAGCAGAAAATGTAATTGAAATTATTTATTTTAAACTCATTTTGCTTTTATACCTTTTTTTTCCCATTAAAAAGACAGAAGAGAAAGAAGTTTGATTCTCATCAGTTAGGACCATTTTAAAACATGCTGAAATGCAGGTAAGCACAGCCTTTATCCTAAATTTAGTACTGCTTTTTGTTAACCTGAGGATATACTATATCTGCACATTTATTTAAGCACTTATATAACTAACATACATTTAGTCAGATGCTTAATTCTGATTAGATTAGAAAGTGATGAATGACACATTTCTTATTTACTAAGCAAGTCATTTTGGGTCCAACTGTGTTTAGTTAGAAACTGAAATTCAATTAAAATATCTGTATCATGTTTTCATATGGTTTAATAAAACTACCTTAAATATCTGGGACATGTAAGAAAGCAAGCTATCTTAGCCAAACTTCTTTTGTATTTCAAACTACATCTTTTCTTAGATAATGAAAGGATTAGTTGTATTTCCTGAATGAAAGCTGGCTGTGGTGACCGGGAACAACACTGGGGATTCTACAAGTGCTAGACCTCAGCATCTTACTCCAAGAATTGCTTGTAGATTGGAAGAAACCAAACTTTATGGATTTGCATCTCCCCGACTGCCTCCCAGTTTTGAATGCACTGTCACTGAATTGAGCTGACTGGGTGTATGGAAAAGCTCCCGCTGTCAAAAGCTGGTTTAGATGGTTAATTCCAGTTTCAGGTGCTCAAGCACTGATTTTCACTACTTTCAGAGGTTTAATGTTAGGACTTTGGCAGCAATCCAATACCACATTAATATTCTTTTCATTTAATCTAAGTTTTAATAGTAAGTTTAGGTAGTAATACAGTATCATGATTTGAAACTTAAGAGTTCATTTTTTAAAGAAACCTGTACTTAAATCAAATAGAAGTCCTGTTTAAAAAGCAAATAGAAGTCCTGTTTAAAGGAAATATATTTTATTCACTCTGCTGTATATTTGATTCTTTGTTTGCTATGTCTAGACTGTGATTTGCCCTGAATGGCCACAGAACACACACACACACAAGTACTATATAGTGACTCTGAGACACACATGGCCTTCATTTTAAAACAATTATTCTGACTGTTTGCCCTCACTGTTTCTGTTGCAGGACTGTACCAGAACTGCATTTCCCCACACCTTCTTTTAATTCATAGTCAGATTATCCTCCTTTGTTGGACACCTCTCCCCTTTCTTAGCCTATTTATTGAGAATAATCTATCCATCTCAGTCTTCTTTTCTTGCTAAGCCATACAGGAACGGCTTTTTTCCTCTCTTCTCCTAAGGAAGACCATCCTCCCATCCGTAATCTTTTCAGTAGCTTCTCCTAATAGCTCTTCTCTGCACCTGTTCCAGTTTGCTGCCATCCGTCTTCTAGATGGATGACTGAACTGCACACCAGATAAGGTCTTAACAATTCCTTGTACAATGGGCATTAATCTCATGCCAGAGTATGCTTTAATTAATTCCCCAAGCTCCTCTGAGGGAGGTGAGGGTTCCTGTTTGTATGTGAGGAAAACCTGAGACACAGTGAGGTGATGTGATTTGCCAAAGTGAGAAAGATGGCAGGAGGGAAATGGGGCAACACAAGAAACCCTCACGAGACACAGCTCCAGCTGTCCTCTCTGCCCCAAAGCACACCTTTCTGCAGTTCGCATTGAACCAAGGCAGTGCAACAGGCTGTTGAGACAGAGTGAAGTGGATTCAAAGACTAGCCATGCATTCAAGGAGAAGCTTTTGCAGCACAAAATCTGGGAAGACTGGGAATACTTTTGGCTGATTTTCTTCTGCTTTCTAAAGCCTGGTTCCTCATTTCTCCTAGGCCTCCTGTTAGCTGCTGTGGGCATGCCAAATGTTAGTTATATCAAGAAGGCAAAGCATCACTAACCTGCAATTTAAGAAATTTAGTATTGAACTGATGAATTACCGCATTTCTTTTGAAAGTTGTGTTTCAATTGCTTTCCTACAGGTGTATTTGAAAGAGCTGGAATGCTTTTCCTTAGTGTAGGTATCTTGTATGGTAAGCATGAGTAAATACCTGTTAAGAACTATCGGCAGAACTATTTGCTGTTACCACTGGTATGAGAATGGAAGCTCAGGTTAGCAAGGCTGAAGGAGACAAAGCTTGGAAAATACTCTTAGTAACCACTGAGTCACAGCGTTGCTTTCCTCTAGGTCTGACCTGCAACCTCTGTTCCTGGCATCAGGCCCCTCTTAAGCTGAGGCAACCTACTACTGCTCCTAATAATGAACCCTTGTCACAAAGCAGATGAATGTCGACTGGGGACCAAATGAGGAGAAGGCACCTCGTTTCTCTTGCACCTTAAGCTGGCTTTGAAACCAGGTATATTGCTGGAAGACTACTGGACTCAGTGTTTTGCCACAGATCTTCTGTAGGCTCTCTGGGCAGAGAAGGATCTTTATACACTGCTCGCCTCCTTCAGACGCAACAGATTTTCCAATTTATGGGAGAGGTAAGTCCTAGTAGTGCCAGGCAGAACTCAGTCCTTGATGTTTAACCAAAAATACATCAATGTCACCAGCATAATTAAATGATCAAGTTCACTCCACTTACTGGAGATCAGCTATGATACTCACATAATAGCAAAGCCTTCAAAATTAATTCAGTGAGGTCAGACTCTTCAAAGAGCCAAAACAAAGCTCTTGGCAAGGGATGTTACCTATCACAGTGCTTTGTCACAAAAGGGGAAGACTAAGGGACAGTGAAGTCCTCTGCTACTCAGCGAGGACAGAAGCAGAAGGGCAACAGGCCTTCCTAGCAACGGCACAGGGACAGAAGAGCAGAGCAAATGTGCCATGTATGCCATTTTAAAGCAGAGGTCAAATGTAGTGCAGGAGAATGTTAGGACAGCTGTGGCCAGGCGAGGTAATATCCATATGCTTCTTCCCCACTGGTTCTCCATTTGAGAGACCTTGACTAAACCCTGTTGTTACACTGAGAAAAGTCAATATATTTTTATACTTTTAATTTTGGAACCAACAGTTGACCTAGCAAAGGTTGGCCACTCATTCCTTACCCAGCTGCGCTCCCTTGCTTAGCATTGTTTGACTTGTCCCCTTTGCCAGCCACTGACCCACTCCCACCCTTCTCCACGTGTCCCGAGGTTATTGTGGTGGAAGCCTCTGAAGGTGTGAAGTCACAGCCAGGATATCTGTCCTTCAAAGCAGGGGTACGCTCGCAGCTCTGGTGACCCAGACATACATCACCACCCAGCCCCAAAATGCACAGTAAGGCCACACAGTACCTTCATGCTCCACTCCAGGTACAGACAAATCTTCTGTTCCTTGCCAGAGGATTTTCCCTGTTTCTGCATCCCGAAGGTTCATCCAATTTCTGATTAGGAAGCAATTAAGGAAAACAAGCTATTTACATCCCTAAATGCTGCATCTACTATTCTTTGCTAAGCCCTGAAAGAGGCTGCTCCAGCTGAGTTTCAATCATGTTTTCTGATTCTCAGGAGGCCAAGCAAAAGAGATGCTTTTTCCCAGAAAATAAATGAACAAACCAACCCTTGACCAGAATGAATGCAACAAAAATTGTATAGTAACAGATTTAGTTTTCACTTTAGACTGAAACTTGTTAACCTCATTTATAATTTTCCATTGCTTCTAAAGGATAAAGGCAATGTCATTGTGCTGCAGAGAAGCAAGAACATTACTAACAATAACAGATAATTCTACACGAACAATTACCGTTCTCCAGCATTTGAAAAATGCTAGAAAAAGAAGTGCTTCCTATATAACGTAAGAAAAAGAAAAACACCCCATCAGGCTTGTTTTCCTACGTTACAAAATATTAATATCAAGGGTTGTTCTATTGCTGTTGACCTTGTAACTGCCACTCATGGGAATTCTTCAGCTGCTGAGCGCTAAGCAAAGAGAGGTCCTCTCTTTTCACTCTCAGCAAGTGAGGCTGTGCTAGCTTTCAAAAAGCCCAGATCAGCGAATTAGTCATTAAAGTTATAGGCAAGTATGAAATACTCACATTTTCAAAGGGACAATTAATAATGGTCTGAAGCACACCTTTGAAAAATCTCTCCCATAATGTAACTCAGACATTGACACCCCAGAACAAGGAGCCTGCACACCCGCCGATGCCATTTTGAACAGGGACATAGCCGTCAGTGAGCCCGAGGCCCCGCAGCAGCCTCCTGCTCCACAGCTCCAGAGTGGCTCCAAGGAGTCACTGGCACAAATGTAAGCAGCCTAAATAGAGCAGGATCTGTGAGATAAGGCCACACAAACCAACACCTTTCCAGGTGTTTCCTTTTGCTGGTTTATGGCAGTGCACCCTTCGTATTCAGTACTTCCTACAGAAGATACTGGAAACTATGTGGGAGAAGGAGAGAGACCAACTGCTCAAGGAACTGACTGGGGAGGTAGAGTAACATAAGAGGGACAATATGGACCTTGACGTAGGTATAAATAGGAGCTGTCAGAGATATGCATATTGAACTCATCCTCTAACATACACAGTTTCCAGGCAGACTCACACAAACTCGTCACATTGATCAAATTTTTCCAGAGCTCCAGGAAAGAAACAGACGCTTTAGCAAATTTTGCATTACAGGGTAACATTTGTTTTAAAATTACGTGTGTGGAGGAGGGAAGATGGCTGCTTCAGCGCAGATGTGAGGAGCCTTTCCCTTCCTGAAGGCTGGCCAGACTTTCCATGTCCCACTGAACGGGCAAGGGGGAGGAGAAAGGTGGGAACGCATGCACAGGGTCCGTTTACACAGGCATGGCCTTACAGCTTCCAAAACTTAGCAACAACTTGGAGCACGGGAAGAGGGAGCGTAAGGCAGCCTGCTCATGTCCTTCTAGCCTTGTTCTATAACACAGAATATCTACCACTTGTTCTGGGATTAAGGCAGGAGGAAAAAGGGGGGATGGAGAAGACAGAAAGCATCATCCCTGGAGGGCCCCATATGCCACCTCCATATCCTGGCAGAAAGCTGGGAAGTGGAGATCTTTCCCCAGCTACCAAACCAAGGGAGACGGGGACCGTAGGCAGGCAAGTCAGAGAGAGAAAATGAGGAGCAGCATGGCAAGAAGAACCTGCAGCAGGGCTGGGCACTTCACGTGGTGCTGGCTGGAAAACTCCGAGTCCCCAGCCAACGCAGCCCACAGGATGGAACTGCCCCAACCGTAATTTAAAATGTCCAACAAAATCCACTGTTTTTAGATACATCTTCCCACAGACAAATATACAAACTAGCCAGGGTGAAGCTATTTGCATAGACAGCAGTGGGCAATCTATCAAATGCCATGTATGAGGGAAAAATAACAAATGAGACAATCTGAGCATCTCACTGACAAATTCATTTATCTTCACAACACCTCGCAATGCAAACACTCTTGACTATTAGCAGTACAGTAATTCAGTACATTTGGCACTTGATTATCAAAAATCTATATTCCCTTTAAAAAATGATCCCCTTCAGAAGTATCTACTTGCTATTTGTTCACTATCAATATCAGTGGGAATTATGACCTCACAGGTCTGGCCATAGGCTGTGTAGTGCCAAACTGAGCAGTAGACAAGGACTTCTGAACTGGAGATGAAACACTAACCAGAACAGCAAACCCGGCATTGCACAGGAACTGATCCAGCCTCCCAAGTGCTGTACCAGTACTCTGACTAATAGACCATCTTCCTTTTTCCTTGCCATGCCTTGCCTTGCTTTGTCTTACCTTCCTGTCTCTCCTCCCTTATCAATTTTTGGAGTATTCTGAAATCACATTTGCCATTTTCAGAAGTATTACATTAGAAGTGCCCTTCAAAGAGTAACATAGTCTCACAGCTTCATTATTACCCTTACTTGAAATACATAGTTATAGGGTGATAGTGACCTACTATTTCTGGTGAGAGAAAACACTACTGTAGGCTACTGACCCCTGTCGCCTCTCCCTATAAGGATTTATCTCTCAACCCAGTCCAAGAGAGATGATACAAGTTAGGTTGCCATGCTGAATAATGCTAGATATGTTAACATTTGGGGCATTAGACTTCTATACAGTGCTACCAGACTTTATTTTGTATTGATGTTCCACTGTAAAAGTAAATCCATGCAGGACAGCCTGCCCCATGCTTTGTATTCTGACTGTTAAATTAAAGATGAAGAATAAATAAAAAGCTGAAGACTATATCCCTGCTGATGAGAGCATGCAGGTCAGCAATACGTGCCACAGTTCCTAGAAAATATCTTGTATTTAAACAATCTGGACATTGCTAACCCATCTAAATTCCATATCAAATGAATAAAGGTTTAGTGTCAGTGTAGCCAAAGGCTTTCTGGCCTAGACAGATGCACGTGCAAGTTCAGGACATGCTTTTCCAACTTCTGCAAATAAAAAAATGAAATCAAATTGCTAGTCAGAGTGTATACACAGAGTTAAAATATGTGGATCCAGACATAGTTTAAGGGATAAGAATGCTCTAGCCAGTTCATAATTTTTCTCCCAGTAACTAAGCATTATTAAAAGGGAAGGACAAATCATCAAATCTTAAAAGTGCACTCACACAATCCTCTTCTATTGGAAAAAACACTTCAGGCTCAAGAGATTCATTCTTTTAAAAAAATAAATGTTTAAAAAGAAACAGACATCTGAAAAAATTTCCTAAGTCAAAATCGAGATCATTTATAAAACTTAACTGTAATGGAATTACAAAAAAAAAAAGGCAAAAGCCATCACAAGTGATTTTTTGGCAAGGGAATACCTGACAAAGCAGCAGCTGTACTGCTTACCTAGTTAGCAGCTTATCACACTATTTCTGTCATCTTGGATAGAAAGGCTGGTATTAGGACATACCCCAGAGTGAAGAAAATGGAGATCTTGAACCAAACCCACACACACTGTTATCTTCTAATGTGTTTAATTGGTTTAAGATTCTTCCATCCCAGCATGAGAGACATTGTTACTAAAAATAAAAAGTGCTCCATCTTATGAGCAGCAGTGGAGACCTGCAGGCAGGATGAAGAGGGCATTTTAAGTATTATTGAAAAGGAGAAAGTAAATTAATGTAGGTTTAACACAATTACTCTTTTTGAAGAGGATCATGTCAAGCCACCTGGCAGGGGTAGCTAAGGAGAGCAAGTAGAGAGCCAGACAGTTACAGCTTTGTGAAGTTAATATATGTGAAAAAAAAAAGGAAGAACAATAGTATATTCCTAATTCAGCTTCTCACTCTAAAATCACAAGAACACTCTCACACCATTAAATTTTCATTCTCCTGGATTTTGGTTTTTTTGGTAGGAAACAATGTCTAATTTAAGACCCATTAGATCAAATACTCTTCAGTCCTGAAGGCAAGGAAGTATTAGGTAGAACAGCAGAAGGAAGGGTGTACTGTTGATCTATTTATATTCCACCACTTATTGGGTCAGCAAAGTCTTACATAAAAGCTTTGTAGTAGCTGGAATTTGACTTGCTTTATATACATGACATGAATTAGCTTCCTCACAGACCTACTTTGCTTAGCCTGATGAAGGGAAATGGTTTGTGCATTTCTAAATCCAAGTTTTGTTGTCTTGAATACCTCTGATCTCAGAACAGAAATTCTTTCTTTTTTGTATCTGTCATAGACATCACTTCTTTCAAACAAATCAAAAAACACATACTTATCTTTAAGTGCTTTAGCATTGCAAAAGATTCCCATGTATTACCACAAGGGTAATTAATAATAACCTTGAAGGAAGAGAATGAGTACAAACAAAATTAATCATTAAAGTAGTATGGAGTTAAAGAAATTCTGCCCCAATCTCCCTGACTATTATTCGTATGTTGTAATGTTTAGTACTTTTGGAATATCTCAAAGGCTGCAGCAAACGGTAGGTGTCATTTCTTCCATTAAAATGGTCCATTTTTCATTTTATTCCTTGCTGTCTACACCATTCTAAAACTTTAGGAACTGCTGCACTCTTATCTTTCATAATAAGAGTAAGGCTAATGTTCATAACCACTCCTGGAAGGGAAGGTCTTTCATCGTCTTTGCCAGCTTTTTTTTTTTTTTTTACATGAAATGCAACATTAAGAACAGTTCACTACATGCTAGGTGCAAACAGGATCCCAACAATTACATGTTAATAAGAATTGTCCTATGGGATAAATGACAGAGAGAAGGTGGAGAAGGTGGAGCTGAAAGCCCTGAACAATTCAGACTTACATTTCTGTTGCAGACCCAGAAAAACTTCTGATCTGAACTGCCCAACTTTCACTCCTGATTTTACGTTGTCTGTTGTGAAAAGCAGACACAACCAGGCACTCATGACATGGACGAGCATGTTACTTTAAAGAACGTTACAGGTAAGTAAAGATCAACCTTTAG